CACTGAGAAGTGCACAGCCCTTGTGTTGTCACACAAAGGTGGCCATTTCTCTGTATGTAGCTCTAGAGGGGCATGTGCCTCCTCTAAGCACCGTATCATCACTCCTGCTGTCATCCTCTCCGGACAGTGCAGGCCATGTATGCATCCATGGCAGTCTGCATGGATACTGCCTTTTAGGGACAGTCACAGGTAAGTTAAATGCTTAGAAAAAGGCAGGTGGTCTCTTGTCCTCTCTTCCTTCTGCTACAGTGAAGGTAATGATAGCTTAATGTGTGTCAATACATATGTACATACCAGAATTTATAGAGTTTATTTCAAATATTTCTGGGGTATTTTTGTTTTGTTTTGTTTTGTTTTTTTCTCATGGGAAAGAAGACCAAAATAGGTTTAGAACAGTTTTGAGGCAGTTGAGGCTGCTAGACTAAAATTTACACTGAAAATATTAAAAACCAAACCAAGAGAGTTTGACAAGTAATACGATCAATACAGAGTGGAGAAATCTTAAAAAAAAAAAAAGCCCCATAATTTTTTTTTCTGACAAGCTATAAAATACACAAAACAAATTTCAGATTTTTATTTTGATAGCTTGTGGAAGCAAGGCACATATCTAGTATGTTCTTAAAAACCCTGCCCTTTAAAACTGCTTAAATCTGTAAGAGTCTGGGATAAAGCACAATAGTGCATGAAGATCTGAAGGTATTACCTGATCCCATGTTCTGCTGCTTTATGAATTTTACAGCACTGCAGCTGTTCTTGTAGATTCCAAGAGCTATAGTCTCAGTGGGGTGCTATTCCAACTACAGGGGATGGTTAAAAATCTACAATATTTTGTTTGAGACTGTTTTCTAATGAGACTAAATACATTCACATAGGTAGAGACTATCTAGAAAAATTACTATGAGAATTTTGCAAAATATTCTTACTAGCATGATAATTTATAAGATAACATAGTGAAAAACCATAAGCCGCCAGGGTCACTAAATAAAGACTAGATAAGGCACTCACAGGGTTTCAGATTTTCAATGTTTCTATAAACTTGACTAGTATGAAGTCAGGAACGCCTTTGTGCTAATACACTTTATCAGAGATTTTTAATATGAAATATAAGAGGCTTTAGTTTCTATTGCTTATTAATTAGCAATTAATAAGAATGGGTATTAATAATTGGACATTATATAAAATTATAGTAAAATAAATGGCCTAATAACAAGTATTTCATATTCAGGTCAATTTTTCTGTCTACTGGAAAGTGATCATTTAAATCCATAATAGAGGAAATCTATAATTCAGCACCCACAGAGGTACAGAATCTTAAAAGGTGAAAGGTCTTGAGACTCCTTAAGAAGCTGGGAGCCATACCATGGAGCAAGTGTTGCATACAGAATGCATGTGACTTGCAGGCGACAGAACAACAGTCATGTTTTTCTGCAAAGAGAGCCAATGGCAAAGTCAAAAAGAAACCCTGGAGTACATTTTGGTAATAGCTACTACTCTAGATTTATAGACATGTTGCTCCTTGTTACTACAGTTCACAAGTCAGCTTAAAACTATCATCTTCAGTATTTTTCTGGCAACAGCCTCAAACTGCAGTTTCTGAGTTTAGTATTTCAAAAGCCATGACAGATTTTGATTTCAAGCCTACTAATTGTAATTGTCACCACTGAAAAAAACAAAGGAGAGAAAAAAGGAGAATGCTGACATGTAAATACAGAGCATTAAAAATAGTTCTTGTTATATCAAAGTCCTTTTAAATCGTATTCCTCTATTACAAGCTTACAGAAGAGCACTCGTCTTTCAGAACTGAAGATTGACTTCAGAATAGATCCTCTTGTCTATTTAAAACCACAAGTCATATAAATTCTCCGTTGCAATTACAACAGTTCAGCACCCGAATGGCTCCAGTGCTGCAGAAAAGAGATTTGCGGGTTCATCACAGAGATATTT